ACATGTCTTTCTCTGATTGACTTATTTCACTCAGCATAACACCCTCCAGTTCCATCCACGTCGTTGCAAATGGCAAGATCTCATTCCTTTTGATGGCTAGTAGCATGTTATTTAACCTCCATTTATTTATGTTCTTTATATATTTTTTCTTGTGGTTGATTTTTCATTATTTCTGTCTTTATATTTAAAGTGTGTTTGTGTAGGGGCACATGGCTGGCTCAGTCAGTGGAGTTTGTGACTTGATCTCAGGGTTGTGCGTTTGAGCCCCACATTGGGTGTAGAGATTAGTTAAAAATAAAATCTCAAAAAAAAAAAATGTGCTGGGCGCCTGGGTGGCTCAGTTGGTTAAGCGACTGCCTTCAGCTCAGGTCATGATCCTGGAGTCCTGGAATCGAGTCCCACATCGGGCTCCCTGCTCAGCAGGGAGTCTGCTTCTCCCTCTGACCCTCCCCCCTCTCATGCTCTCTCTCTCTCTCTCATTCTCTCTCTCAAATAAATAAATAAATAAAATCTTCAAAAAAATAAATAAAAAAAATAAAATGTGCTTTTGTAGGCAGCATATAATTGGTTCTTGATTTCTTATCCAATCTTGGAATTTCTGCCTTTTCTTTGGATGTTTGTATCATTTAAATTTGATGTGATTATTTTTTTTAAGATTTTATTTATTTATTTTGAGAGAGAGAGAGAAAGTGAATGTGTGTGGGGGGAAGGGGCAGAAGGAGAGGAAGAGACAGAGAATCTCAAGCAGACTCCATGCTGCGTGTGGAGCTCAATGCGGGGCTTGATCTCATGAACGTGAGATCATGACCTGAGCTGAAATCAAGAGTCAGTCGCTTAATTGACTGAGCCATGCATGCACCCCTGATGTGATTATTGATATAGTTAGGTTTAAGGTTATCATCTTAATTATTCCATTCATCTCCTCTGTTCTTTGTTCCTCTTTTCCTCTTTTTCTGTCTTTCTTTGGATTAACTGAATATTTTTTTTAAATCTAATTTTATCTGCTTTGTTGATGCCTTTGCTGTAAGTGGTTTTATTATTTAAGTAGTTGGAGCTTACAGTATGCATCTTTTACCTGTCACAGTCAATTTAAATTACTGCACTTAACAGAGTAGAAGAATCTTAATATACTTAGATTTTTCTCTTTTAGCCTTTATGCTGTAGTTAGCACATATTTTAATTTTATGTAGTCGTAACTCTCACAATACATTGCTATTATCTTTGATTAAACAATTATCCTTGGAACAGAATTAAATAATAAGAAAAACTATATTACTCATGTAGTTACCATTTCCAGTGGTTTGATAAAATCTTTTAATTTTGAAATGTATTTTCAAAAGATATAGATTTCCCAGGGGACAATTTTTTTTCTTCCAGTATTTAAAGATATTGCTGTTTTCTCTCTGACATTGTTACCACTGAGGAATCTGCTGTCATCCTTATCTTTGTCCCTCTGTATGTAACATGTCTTAGTTCTCTGACTGCTTTTAAGATTTTCTCTTTATTACTGGTTTTGAAATGTTTTATTATAAGGTGAGTTGGTATAGTTTTCTTCATGTTTCTTGTGACTTGGGATTTGTTAGCCTTTTTGGTTCTGGGAGTTTATAATTTTCCTTAAGCTTGGAAAGTTTTGGGCTATATTTCTTAAAATATTTTTCTGGCCCTGCCTTGTTCAGGATATCAATTCTGCCTAAACTTATCTCACAGATAACTGATGCTCTTTTTATCTTTTTTGGGTTTGTTTTCCCTATATATTCTATTTTGGATGGTAATAAATAAGTGTTCGGTAGTTCTGCAATTTCTCTGGTGTTTATGAAAATTGTACTTTGCTTGAGGTTTTAAGGCTATGTATTTGTCATTCTTGTTTTTGTTTCTGATTGAGAGGCAACCAAAGAAAATACAGAGATATACACATTTGTACTTCTCCATGGCAATTTTGGCACATCTCAGATCCTTTTTGCAAATTATTTATATTTATTCTTTGCCTGTGTTTTCATCTTTTATACATTTAAAAAAAAAATTTGGTTGTTAAAAGAGTTGGACTACTAAATGATTTTTATCTTCTTCCTTGTACAGATCTATTGGGATTAGAGTTCCAGAATTTCATTATTGGGGACTCCCATAGGCTAATGTTATATTTCCATTTATATATGCAATTATTAGCAAGGCAATTAAAAATTATGGTAGTCTTTTCTTAGAAGAATGTGCATTTCACTGTCATTCTCAATCATTTACTCATCCTGTTATGTCATATTAGAGAAGCATTTGCCAACCTATTTTGTATTCCATGTATTTGGATATTACTGTAGCAATGTATTTATATTCTCTTTTTTTTAACTTAAACAGTTTCCATAATTTTCATTCTCAAGTTTAAGTATTTCATGACAGGTATTTTACATAAGGTAATGTTCTCTCACCACCTTCTATTTTATTTCTTGAGTAGCACTACAGAGCGAGACTTCCACTTATTAAAAATATATTTGCCTCTTTAGTATAAGGTTCTATTTTGGGAACAATTCTTAACATGTATTTTAATTTAAAATATTTTAAATAGCAAAATAACTTATGAAGGTCCATAGCTGCATACGAATATTGCAGTTTCAAATTCTCCAAGTTTAGGACACATTGTCCCTGCACAACCAACTTTATATGAATTGGCCCGAACTACCTATAAGGAAAGGAATTTTAAAATAAAATATGCAAAACAACTTTATGCAAACAATGCATTATGGGAGCAGGTATAATCTTTGTCATGCTACCAAAAATGAATGCATATAACTATTTACTCTCTGTTTATTTTCTTAATTTTAATATTAACTTTAAAACAATTATTTTGTTAAGGCTACTTTCCTGAGGCCTATCTAACTAGTTTTTCCTCACTGTGAATTCTCATAAATCGAAAGGAGAATATACCATAAAGACAAAATTATATTTTTCTAGATGATTTATGAAATATATTTTCATTTTCTCTATGGGCATATCATATAAATGATATCAAAATCAGACTATGAATGGAAACAATATAAACTTTTATTTCTTTTTCTCAGAAAAATTCTACTTCATTTATGATCACATTTTAAATTTTGTGGTCTGAACCATATTCTTACCTTTGTTAAGTAAACAAGAGACAGATAAGAATAGAGATTAAGAACATAATGAGTCTTCTGCAAAAGATGCCTGCCACAGAGATGGTGTATGTTTATTTTTGTCTAGTGGCAAAGAATAGCAAAGTTATCAAAAGGAAGATGACTCCTATGGAAAACTAGACGGGAGAGAGAAAAGAGTGAAGAAGATTACTATTTCTTTAGTAATAGTAAGAGATGAGAGAAGAGTAAGAGAGAAGTAAGAGATGAGTTTTGCTTCTAACCATGTGTGTGGCTTTAGAGACTGACAGCAATTCTGAGCTGGTTTCCTACTTAATAAAATGAGATTAAGCTTGATCCTTAAAAGATCCTTTTCCTTTTGAATGTTTCAAAAGTTAATAAGCCATACAACTGCAAGTATACGTTTTTTCTAAGAATTCATGTTTAAAAACTTGGTTCATGAGTATGTGGCTATTCCATGAAATTCTATTTGCTTAATGTATCTAAGTTACGATTCTGTTTTGGCTTTGAGAATGGTAAAAGTAAATATAGGTTTAAAATGTATTGCTTTCATTAAAGGGACTAGATGTGACAATATGAACATTGGCTGTAACTTCAATATGAATATAAAATGCAGGAAATTTTTAGCTCATTTTGTTTAGAACATTAAGCAAGATACAGTTGCTGAACAAGTAGAAAGAATGCACTCATTCCTAATTATTTAAGCATATGTGTAAATTAGCCAGTGTGGAGTGAGCTTCCAATTCTGATGTAGCAGTGATAGTGGAAAAGGAGTATTTGGGAACAGGTTCCTTTTGACTTGAAGCAAAAGAGAGACACAAAGGATTATATAAAGGCTGTGAGTTATAACGTCTTAATGCCATATTAGGGATATTACATTCTGCTTTTTATCAGTACACCTGACATTTGGACTCCATTCTTTTGATTTTCCCCGCAGTAGCCAAACCGTATTCTTTGCAGACATCTATCCTGAAAAGGGTTTCCAGACTTACAGTGTCCTATTGTTGGACAATGAGTGAATAGAAGGGGAACATGGAAGCTGCTAATCTCTTTGTTCAGTGCTCCTCTGATAAAAATGACTTGCTTTAAGTCACTATATACTAATACATCTTATACAGATGAGTGAGTTCGGAGAAGAAAGTTAGCCCTTTTTATTGCTTATGGAGCTTCCTAGGAGTTCAGTGCCATTTTTAGGATTGGTTTAGTTTAAAAGCGGCTTCCACTTCTCACCAAAAATTCCAACCGAAATAACCAGAATACTTGGGAAAATAATGAGAAATAAAGTTTTTCAAGATACTGGACATCAGTATCTTGAAAAGGATAATGCCCTCTGCGAGTTGAGGGGAAAGGATTCAGGCAGTACAATTGTCCCAGATTATTGCTTTGGGAGAGTTTCCAGGCCATGGCTGGAGGGTTGGGAGTTGGGAAACCAGCAGAAGCTTGATGGATTCACACAACTGACAGGCAGAGCCGAGAGTCTGGGGAAACCAAGGATACAGGAGTTTAGAGAATATAGTACTGGGGAGGTGAAAATCTCACTGTGATACAACTGTAGAGATCTACAGGAAGTCCTCATGGTCAGTTCAGCAGAGCATTAATCAGCATGTATGTGAAGAAACTACCTGAGGCCTGGGAAAGAACCACTATAAAAACTAGAGGAAAGATGCTAAGACTTAAACAGGGCCAGGAATAGAGCCTGTTACTACTAGCCACTGGAAAATACCAATTTCTAGGGCATTGATAGAGTATGCACAAGAGTCTTGCTTTGCAAGAACCAAAAAAATTTTAAAAATTTCAGATAATGTAACTGTATTCCAGAAGACAGTTCAAGAATATTTAGAGATATATAAATAAACCCAGTATTCAACAAGGCAAAATTTACAAATTTGGGAATATAATAAATTTACCCAGCAGCATGATAAGAAACAGGAAAATTTGACCCATAATGAAGAGGGAAAATCAGTCTATTGAAACTAACCCAGAAGTAACCTAGATGCTAGAATTAGGAGGGAAAACATTAAAATAATGATTATAACTGTATCCCATATGATTAAAAAGCTAGATGAAAGATTAAACATACTAGATACTGTCATTGATTGATTAGTGAACTTAAGATAAAGCAATAAGACTATCTGAAATTAATCACAGAAGAAAACAATCAGGAAAAGAGAGAAGAGAACATTAAACTGTGGAAAACTTCAAGTGGCCTTCTACATGAGTAACAACTCTGGAAGGGAGTAGCAAGCGAGAATGACAGAAATATTTGAAGAAATAATGGCAAATGTTTTTCAAAATTTGATTTAAACTATAGACATACAGTTCCAAGAAGCTCATTATATTGCAGCAGAAAAAACTGCAGTGCGTTATTATGAAATTGCTCAGGACCTGTAATAAAGGAAGAATTGTAAAAGTCAGAGCAAAAAGACACATAAAGCACAAAGGAATAAAGAAAAGATCATAGTAGATTTCTTGTTGGAAACAATGCAAGTGAGATGACAGTGGAGTAAGATTTTTAAAGTCCAGAAAAACAAACAAAAGAAACAAACAAAAAATTCCAGTACATAGAGTTCTATTCCCAGTATAAATATCTTCCAAATGAAGGTGTGTTTTTTAGATACTCAAAAGAAACTCAAAATAAAATGGTAAAAAAGTTGTCTTTTGATAGAAATGTGCATAAATAAGAACTAATCAACAAAATGTCAAATATTTACCTGTGTATAATGGCCACAAGCTTTGGAACATAGTAGGGTATTATAATCATAAAATTCAGTTTCATTAAACCAAGGAACAACAGCAAATTTTGGTGAAAATATGCTTAATTCACCTAACCAGATATTTCCTCCAACAAATTGAAAAGTTGGATGGCATCTGTATGATATTGATAAACAGGAGTTGTGTTCGAATCTGCACTTGTTTGCCCATGCTTTAGCAACCTTCGCTAAACCATCATCCCAAGTCTGAAAGATAAAATAATTTAAATTGAATCGTGCATATTTGCTTGGATTAATAAAGCTATTCTAATGATTGTAATCCAATTTTGTTTAAATTTATTTTAATAAAATACAGATTTTTTTTGGTATTATGTTTACAGTTATTCATTTTTTTAGTCCTACTTCAGAAACATTTAGTACCCACTCTATGGCAATTTATCTTTGAATTTCCAATACCTTGCAGATGGCCTAGTACACTAGAGGCACTCAACAAATATATTCGAATGTGATTTAAGTAAGTCAAGAGTTCACAGTCTAGTAATTTGGGTCATGCAAATATATGATAAGTGAAAGATGAGTACCCATTTATAAGTAAAAAGGGAAAATGCCTCTTAGCACACCAGGAATAGAATTTCCTTAATTTGATCAAGAATATCTACCCAAACCAAAAAAACAAGCAAAAAATGCTACAATAGGCATCGATATAATGGTGAAATATTGAAAGCTTTCCCCCAAGATGGGAAATGAAACAAGATGTCTCATTATTTCCTGTAAATAATACAGGAAGTTAGGTGGCATAATAAAATATATGAGCTATAAATACATAAGAAAAAAGACATAAAATGTATAATGACTGGAATCTATCATTACTCATAGATAACAAGACTGGGTACATAGAAAATTCAAACGAATACACAAACAAAACTATAGGAAAAAAGTGTAATTATCAGTTTCCAGATATCAGGAAAATATACAAAATTGTATTTCCACATATACTTCAGAAACAAATAATTAAAAGATAAATATATAAAAATAAATCCAATAAATGATATAAAAAAATCTCTACGCTAAAAAAGCTATAAAACATCATTAAGATTAATTTGTAAAGACAAATAAATGGATATATGTAAAATGTTTAGGAACGGGAAGATTTAATATAGATAAAGGATTGGATATTGATATTTAATCCATTTCTAAAAAAATCCAAGTAGCGCTTTTTTTGGTGGAAATTGATTTCAAAATTTATATGGAAATTCAAAGAGCCAACAATAGCTAAGACAATCTTTAAAAAGTAAAACAAGGCTAGAGGACTTACTGTACCAGATATCAAGACATCATAAATCTACATAAAGACATTGTAGTATTGGTATAAGATATGGATAGACAAAGATCCCAATGAAACAGGATAGAGTCCAGAATCAGTTTTTGACAAGAGTGGCAACGTCTTAATGTAGGTATTATTGGCAAGATGATTTTTTTAATTTAAGTAAGCTCTCTGCCTAATGTGGGGCTTGAACTTACAACCCCAGGATCAAGAGCCACATGCACTGGCAACTGAGCCAGCCCCTGGCAAGATGATTTTTTTAAATATTTTTATTTCAAATTAATTGTAAATTCACAAGAGGTTACAAAAAGAGTACACAGATGTCCTGCGCAAACTATGCCTGGTTCCCCCTCAATAATGTTTTATGGTAACTATAAAACAATATCAAAATGAAGAAATTGACATTGGTACAATCAACAGACCTTAAGATTTCAGTAGTTTTACATGCATTCATTTGTGTGTGTGTGTGTGTGTGTGTTTGTGTAGTTTTATGCAGTTTTATCACAAGTAAATCACCCCCACGATCAAGATACATAACAAACTGTTCTATCATCACAATGATTCCTCATACTAATGTTTTAAAGTCATACTCACTCATTCCCCCATCTAATCACTATCACTAACGTGTTCACCATCTCTATAATTTTGTCATTTCAAGAATGTTATATAAACAGTCACAATATGTAACCATTTTGATATTGGCTTTTTTTTCACTCAGCAAAATTCCCTTGAGATCCGTCCATAATGTTCCATGTGTTCCATAGTTTATTTCTTCTTATTGCGAGTGGTATTCCACAGTATGGATATACCACAGTTTGTTTAACTTTCACCTACTGATGGAAATTTTGATGTTTACCAGTTTGGGTTATTACAAATAAAGCTGCAATGAACATGTGTGAACAGGTTTTTGTGTAGCAGTTAAGTTTTCCTTTTTCTGGGAAAAAAGGAAAAGAAAAAGTGCCCTAAGAAGGCAATTGTTGGGTCATATGGTAAGTGTACATGTGTTTTTTTAGAATAAAAGACCAAACTATTTTCTAGAGTGGCTGCAACATTTTAGATTTTACATTCCCACCAGCAAAGTATGACAGATATAGTTTTTCTACATCCTCTTGAGTATTTGATGTTGTCACTGTTTTTTTATTATAGTTTTTCAAATTGGTGTGTAGTAATACCACATTGTGGTTTTAATTTGTATTTCCCAATGGCTAATGTGTTGAACATATTTTCCATTTGTGTGTCCTTGTAGTGAAATATCTCTTCAGTTCCTTGTTCGTTTTCTAATTGACTTTTTTTTTTTTTTTTTACTGTTGAGTTTTAGGAATTCTTTATATATATTCTAGACAGCAGTTCTTTGTGAGATAAGTGGTTTGTGTATATTTTCTGCTATTCTGTAGCTTGTCTTTTTATGTATTAACAAGGTATTTTAAAGAGCAAAAGTTTTTAATTTTGATGAGGTTTAACTTACTGACTTTTTTTAACTTGCAGTCTTGGTGTCATGTATAATCAAAGTAATCTGCCATATTAGGAAGCCTCAATAGCTGTAGATCCTGAGGCTTTTCTCCACTTTTCCTTCTGAAAGTTTTATAGTTTTGTGTTTTACATTTGTTCTAATTTTTGTATAATATGTAAAGTTTAGGTCAAAAATTTTTGTTTTTTCTTTTGCTTATGAATATCAAAAATCTGTAGAGTTGTTCATAGTATACACCCGAAGGATCTGTAATAGTATGCCTGATTCATTCCTGATATTGGTTATTTGTGCCATTATCTTTTTTATTTAATCTTTTCAAAGGATCAGCTTTATATTCCACTGATTTTTTTCCTGTCATTTTAATTTGCAACTTACATTGATTTCTCCTCTTCCATTATTTTCTTCCTTCTGCATGTTTATTTTGCTTTTTTCTTGTTTCTTTAGATAGAATTTAGATTATTTAAGAGCTTTCCCCTTTGTAATGTAGCCATTTAGTGCTGTACATTTCCCTCTCAGCACTGCTATGGCTGTATTCCATAGGTTTTGATATATTGTATTTTCAGTATGTATTTTGAAATTTTCCTTGAGATTTCCTCTTTGACCCATGGATTATTTATAAGTGTGTTTAATTTCCAAGTGTTTAAAGAATTTATTACCTTTGTGCTATAGATTTCTGGTTTGATTTCATTGTGTTCTAATAACATACTCTATATAATTTCAGTTGTCTTAAATTTGTTGTTTTCATTTTATGGTTCAGGATATGGTCAATCTTGGTTAATGTTCCACAGGCACTTCAAAAGAATGTGTATTACTTAGTTGTTGAGTGGAGTGTTCTATAAATGTAGTTAGATCCTAGTTGGTTAATGGTATTAAGTTCTTCTACATCCTTGCTGATTTTCTGTCTTCCTTTTGAGCAGAGTGTTGAAATTTTCCAAATGTAATTGAGAACTTTTCTATTTCTTTTTTCAGTTCTATTGGTTTTCCTTCCTATATTCTAAAGGTCTGTTGTTTGGAGCACACAAATTTTTTATTAAAATTTCTTTGATGGATTGATTGTTGTATCATTATGTAATTTTGTTCTCTGGTGTATTTCTTTGCTGTGAAATCTACTCTATCTGATATTAATAAAGTCACTCCTGCTTTCTTTTGATTAACCTTCGTATGACATGTCTTTCTCCAACCTTTTACTTTCAATCTATCTATATCATTATATTTGAAGTGAGTTTCTTGGTAATAGCATATTGTTGGCTCATGATTTTTTTTAAATTCATTCTGATATTCTCTGGTTTTTAATTGATGTATTTATACCATTTACATTTACTGTTCTTATTGATAAGTTAAAGCATAATCCTACCATTTTATTGTTTATTTTTAATTATCCCTTTGTTTTTCATTCCTGTTTCACTTTTCCTGCTTTCCTGTGAGCTACTTGAACATTATTTAGAATTGCACTTTGATTTATCCATAGTGTTTTTTAGTATGTATATATATATATATATATATACATATATATATGTTTTAGTGGTTGCTATAGATATTACATAATTTATGTAACTTGTCACAAACTACTGGGGTCTGCATTTTACCAGCTTGACTGAAGTATAGAAATATTGCTTCCATTTATGTTCTTTACCACTCACTCCACCAATAATATAATTATCTTAAATATTTTTTCTATATATATTAAGAACCATATCAAACAATATTATAAAATTTGCTTTAACTGTCAAACATAATTAGGAAACATAATGGAAGGATACTTTGTTGTATTTACTCATATTTTTACCTTTTGCCTTGTTTTTTCTTCATCCCTGATATTCTGAGAGTCTTGTTTCATCATTGTCTTAGTGTTTGAAGAACTTTTCTTAGCTATTCTTTTAGAATGGGTCTGCTTCTGACAAATTATTTTAGTTCTCCTGAATCTGAGAGTGTTTTTTGTTTGTTTGTTTGTTTTCATTTAATTTTATTATATTATGTTAATCACCATTTTATTATGTTATGTTAATCACCATACTGTACATCACTGGTTTTTGATGTAGTGGTCCATGATTCATTGTTTGCATATAACACCCAGTGCTCCTTAATTTCATCTTAATTCCTGAAGTATATTTTCTTTGGGTAGGATTCTTGGTTGACTATTCTTTGAAATTGAAAATGTTGTACCACTTCCTTTGGGCTTCTGTGGATTTGGATGAGAAATTTGATGACATTGAAATTGTTGTTTTCCTTAAGGTAATGCATTGTTTTTTTTCCCCACTGCTTTTAAATTTTTTTCCTTATCTTAAATTTTCTGAAGTTTGATTATGATGTATCTTGGCATGAATTTCTTTGGGTTCATCATATATGGGCTTCACTCAGATTTATTGTGCATGTTTTTACCCAAATTTTGGAAGTTCTCAGCCACTATTTTTTAGGATATTTTTTCTGCCCCTCCCCATCTTTCTCCATTCCT